ATCAGCTGAAAGAACTCTATGGGAGCAAACATGATCCAAGGCTTTCAGTTTTTTGATGGATGAAAAGTAAAATGGGAAATTTCCAAAAGTTCAAGATGTTACAAAAAACAAACAAACAAAGACTTACTTAACAGAGCTGAAGCCAGACTGAGATCACCATGGCCTTTTGATTGGATGCAGTACACATCACAGAAAATGGAGGCATGCAGACACCATGCCACATTCCACTGCAACTTGGGCCACTGATCTACTTCTCAGAATGGACCATGACCAGTTTCCCAGCTGGTCATGTAAGCTAAAATCATTTCTTGTTCAAATTGCATGAGTGTAAAACCAGAATCTATCATGGTACCTAACACAAATACTAAATGACAGAATAAATTGTTGAGTGGGAGAAAGGAAAGGGTGGATAGGTGGGTGGATAGGTAGATGTTGATGGGTGAATCAGTGGGTGGGAAAGTGGGTGGCTGGATATGAGTGAATTGATAGATGTATGTATGGATGAGTTGGATAAGTGAATAAATTTGGGTTAGTAGTTAGTGTGTATAGTTGGGTAAAAATGATTGGAGAAGGAGTGTGGAGATTGGCAGGTGAATGGACAGTTGTAGAAGATGGATCAATGAGTGGATGGTGGGTATGATATGGGTATGTGGATGGTAGTGAGTGGGTGGATAAATAAATAGGGTTGTTGGATGGGTAGCTGAGTAAATGGATAGATGAGTAGACAGATTAATGAAATGGATAAGGTGGGTGGATGGATGGGTGGATAGATAGATGGGTGGTGGAGAGGTAAACACATAACGAACAATAGATGAATGTGGTAGTATATAGATGGGTGGATGGGTAAGCTTCCCAAAGTATTCAGATTTAACTTGACAGAAGACAAATGTGAAAGTCTGCTGTACGGAGTAAGGTTTTTCCTCCCGTTGCCAGTCTTATCCCGCCACCCCGCCAGCCCCATATAACGCACAGAGACTCTGTATTTGATATTATGCTTTGGCCAGTTACTTGTTTCTTATCGGCTAGCTCTGTCTTAAGTATTAACCCATTTCTATGTATTTCCACGTGGTCTTACTGAGAGCGGAGGAATGGCGGTTCTGTTCTCTCCAGACTCTCCATGTTGACTCCTCCTTACTACTTCCTCTTTCCTCCTTGTCTCCTAATCCCTCCTATCTTCCTTTCCTATTGGCCAACAGTGCTTTATTCATTAACCAAAATGAGAAACATATATACATAATGGCATCTCCCATCAGTCTACCATCTTCCACGCCTCATACTCTACCTTACTCTTTAAAGATTTATTTATGTATTTTATGTATATGAATGCTCTGTCTACGTGTACATCTGCATACCAGAAGATGGCATTGGATCCCATCACAGATGGGTGTAATCCACCATGTTGGTGCTGGGGATTGAACTCAGGACCTCTGAAAGAGCAGTCAGTGCTCTTAATTTCTGAGCCATCACTTCAGTACTCTCCACCTTACTCTTTAGAGAGGCTTTCTTCCCCGCCAGTGCAGACAACGGCATCACTTCCAGCTCATGACCTGTCACCTGCTTCCACTCATACCCACTGGTCCACAGAAGCCCAGCAGCAGCCTCAGAGAAGATGCCCCTAACAGAAGGTACTGTCTGTCACCTCTGTCACACTGGAGATGACACTAACTAACCATGAGACCTGTGCCCAGGCTAGAATCAGCACCAAAGACAAAGCCAGAGTTGCCCTCCTTTCTTCTGAAGTCTATATACTCCAAACCTTCACAGCAGTCAGGACCCTTCGAAAACACTCTGGCAATGGCCCCTTTCACACCACTCTGTGTCTGCTTCAGGTACTTGTGCTTCAGGTACTAAGTGGTAGCCAGATGTGCCTCAGATGCCCTTGTTTGCTTGTCTGTAAGGAGGAACGAGAGCCCAGCGTTTGGGTCAGTACTCCCACTGCTACTGGATCAGAACACATCTGGCAAGAAACCACTCAGTGAAGCACTGTTTGAGAAGAAAAGGACATGGCTTATTATGTTTTATTTCAACTGCAGCTAAGTACTGAAATAAATAAATATTAAATTAAGTAAGAAAAGTATATACATAAATAAAGTCTCCCCAGAAGAAGAAAAAGCAATCTGCCACAATCTGAGTCCAGACAGAAGCACCCCACCCAGCTCTTCGTGGGAGTAATTGGCAGTGGGCTTTTATCCAGGGAGCTTCATCTCATTAGACCAGCTTTAATGGAGGGAGTGAAGCCTGTTCCAGGAGAAACATCAGTGCACGAGGTTTTATTTATATGTACATCTGACACTCCTCAGGAAGAGGCCACTCACCCCATGAAGGGCCAACCCCAGAGGGCCAGTTCCTCAGCCCTGTGCACACTCTGCAGTGAAGACCTGAGCCATGGGGCCACGACTAACCATGGCATTCTCAAGCCAGACCACACCAACAAAAACACGGCCAGCCTTCTCAGAGCTCCTACAGGGACATTTTAGTTCTGAGGGCAGAGCACACGGTGTCTGGGGTGGTGGAGAAGCACAGAGGCATGAGAGAATAGAGGCAAATGTGACCTACTCCCACAACATCCAATCATAACAGACCCATAGCCAGAGCACAGCCATTACTCAACCTCCTTGGGTCTCCTCACAAAGCTTGGAAGAAACCCAGAGAGGGGCTGACCTGAAGGAAAGGTATTTAATCTCAGCTGTATTTATTATTAGTTTACATGACCACAGGAAGGGAGAAGGGGAAAGGGGGCAGGGAAGGAGAAGGCGGAGGAAGAGGAGGGAGAACTCAGCTCCTAGAAGTAGCCTTGCCCTCATTGGGAGGTGGTGGCCACCCTGGGTGGAGGTGGGAAACATTCTTTAGGAGTCAGAGCTGTGACCAGAAGCCAACCGACGCCTGCCCCATTCCATCCCCACCTCCCACCCCCTCCCACCCCCACTGCACTGCCCAGCTTCAAAATGCCCCAGAGGGCAGCAAAGTAAACGCAGCTGCAGCCCAAATCTTTCCACCCTGAAAAAACACCAAAAACAACTCTGCCAATGAAGGCCTTGAGGAACACTTGGTCCAGGTGGTGAGAGGCTGGGACTAATGAGGCCAAGGTTGCAGTCCAGACTCACAGAAAGGCCAAACAGGCATACAAAGAAGCACTGTGGCCCAGCCCCAAGGAGACCTGCCAGCCAGCTGCCTCACACACAGCCCAGCCTCGGTCACACAAGGGTGAGACACACAGGGAGATGACTCAGCTCTCACTCTGCCTCCTCCCCAGCACAGGATCTGTTCTGCAGATTTAGCTGAGTCTGCCTGCCTGCCCAGACCTGAGAGCACACCACACAGGAAGCTGTACAAGATAGTTCCACTTCCCAGGCCAGAACTGCAAGGCTTTTCCCGGGAGGGCTCTGACTCCAAGATGGCCAGCACACTACTCCTTGCCCTCTGCACTTACTGCAGACAGGATAGCCACCACCATGCCAGGCATGGCTCAGTGATCAACACTGCTTCATTTCTGGCTTTCCAGTTAGCTGAGCACACGCCCCCACACACACCATGAAAGCAATCCAGCTCCAAACAATCCAGTTCTATGCCCTGACCAGCCTGAAAGGAGCAGTTCAGAAGCACACAGTCACAAGCCCAGACTCACCTGGATCCTGCAGGACTGGAACCTGTCAGCACACAAATACAGGTACAAATACATCTCTGCCACTAAGCCACCTCCCAACCTGCCTCAATTCTTCCTTGAATACCACATAGAAAACTCCCAGGAGCAAATACCAGAGGACAAGGGCAGCTGCCACCAGGTCCTCCTCTCTGCCCACCTGCAGGCATCACTGCTTAGCAATCCAGTCCCCAGAGGCCATCTCCACTGCAGACCCGAGGAGACACAGGCTGGGAGGCCAGAAGTGACTGCCTCCTCTCAGATGACTCTAGTTTGTGTCAAGTTGACATAAAACTAACCACTACAACTGCAAACTACCATGTGGGTGCTGGAAACAGAACCCAGGTCCTCTGGAAGAGCAGCCAGTACTCGTAACTGCTGAGCTGTCTCTCCAGCCCCATTTGTCTCCACTTCTTTTTTTTTTTTTATTTACACCTTTTTTATTAATTTATTTTTTACATTCCAATCCCAGCTCCCATCCCCTCCTTCCCTCCCACTTTCCCCACTACCTCTGCCTCCCATCTGCTCCTCAGAGAGGGTAAGGCCTCCCACAGAAAGTCTACTAAGTCTGTCCCATCATCTAGTTGAAGCAGGACCAAGACACCTCCCCACCCCCACACTGTGTCTAGGCTGGGCAAGGTATCTCTCCATATAGAATGGACTCCACTAAGTCAGTCTGTGCATTGGTGTTAGATCTTGGACCCACTGCCAGTGGCCTCATATGTTTTCCCAGTCACACCATTGTCACCTATATTAAGGGAGTCTAGTTCAGTCTTATGCAGATTCCCCATTTGTCAGACCAGACTCAGGGATCTCTCACTAGCTCAGGTCAGCTGATTCTGTGGGTTTCCCCTTCATGGTCTTGATTCCTTTGTTCATATTATTGCTCATATTATCCCCCACTTCAATTATACTCCAGGAGCTTGGCCCAATGATAAGTTGTGGATTACTGCACCTGCTTCCATCTGTTTCTGGAAGAGGTTTCAAGCTTCTCTGGGGTTGTCAATTGTAGGCTGGGTATCTTTTGCTTTATGTCTGGTATCCACTTGTCTCCACTTCTTAGCAATAATCTCTTCTGAAATGTGAGGCCATACACATTCTCCCAAGCAAGCAAGTCTTCACTAGACCATTCCATTAGGAATGAAGGTTTGTTCATTCTGAAACCTTCGTATTCAGTGGTTTTAGGAGATAATTTGGAGGAAGTCAATGAAGGGCAAGATAGAAAGACACCTTCAACTGAAGTATCACTTTACCTAATACTGTCCCCAGGCTTCCCCACTGATACGAAGTTTCCTGATTCATGGCTCAGGCCTCTTCATCAAACCCAAAGCTTAAAAGCACATGACAAATGGACTCGTACCTTCTTCGCCAGCAGTATGGCCAATTGAGACACAGCTGCATGGCCAAGTAAGAGCCACACCAGGCTCCGCCTCCCCCATTCCAGCCAGAAGTTCCACTCAAAGTCAGTCGAGTCCTAGAAGGAAATAACAAGAGGTGGCATTATCAGAGGGACCTGGCCATGTGTGTGACCAGGAGAAAAGGCATTACCAGAGGGACCATGCCATGTGTGTGACCAGGAGACACACACACACACACTTCCCACTGACCATGTTTTCTCCAAGGCATTTGGAGAGAATTGTTAAGTCTAAGTCACAAATGAGACTGATATAAAAGTTGGGAATCACGACCCAAACTATGTAATTTAAGACAGCTGTGGGTCTTATAGCAGTAGCAAAATTACAGTTATGAGTAGCAATGAAAATTTTATGGTTGGGGGCACCACATCATGAGGAACTGCAATAAAGGGTCACAACATAAAGAAGTTTGAGAACCATTGCTCTAGGGGGTTGCTCTAGGGGACACAGGCAAAGGATCCAATGCTTACAGACTTCCTCAGCTACATGGTGAACTTGGGGCCAGCCTGGACTACATGAGATCCTGTCTCAAAAAAAAAAAAAAAAAAAAAAAAGGTAGACGCACAATGACTACAGATCATATTGCACAAACCCATGCCTCCCCTACAAAATGTGCTCTTAAGTCTGGAAGTGGTGATGCTGCATAGTTTTAGTCCTAGAACTTGGGAGACAGGCAGAGCTCTGTTGAGTTCGAGGCCAGCCTGGTCTACAGAGTGAGCTCCAGGACAGCCAAGGCTACACAAAGAAACCCTGTTGAGTGGGCGGGGGTGGGGGTGGGGGGAGAGCGCTGTTGATTCACACATATCATGTCAGCTCTCCAGAATATCAAAGAAACAGTGTGTGTCCCTGTAACATGGAGAAATTAAACATTTCCAGTCCTTGGGGACTGTCCCTCGGGCCCTTATATCCAGAGAATTTGGTTTCTGCTCAGAAAGTCATCTGACCTTCACAAAAGTGAGTTTAAAGTCCCACATGGTGATACATGCCTGTAATTTCAGCACCTGGGAGGCTGAGGCAAGAAGAGTTAGAGGCCAGCCTTGGCTAGAGAGTGAGTCTGTGAGTTTGAGGAAGGAAAGTCAAAAGTAGTTCTTCAAGCTTCTCTACCTAGGGTGCAACTGTTAAACGAGCTGCACATACCCACATGGATCTGACTGGGTTCCCCGTTTACAGAATTCTCCTCTATAGGGATGTGAACTCCCCAGTAAGGTTTGTTATTGTTGCTGCAACTTCGTGTAGGCATATAATTACTCTGAAATAAGTAGGCTTTATAGAAAAGAAACAGAAATCATACTTAAAGTCCTCATAAACACAAGAAATGCAAGCAAGTTCCTGCGACTGAACCAGTAAATCCAGACCTCCCTCCGCTCCGCCCCCTTAAGGTGGCTGTGTGGTTTGCTGTGAACCAGGTATTTGAGGAACCTCAAAGCCCGGTAAGACGTCTCATTTGCATACCCATAATTCCTTGCACGCAATAGAATCTTTGAAGATATATATATATATATATATGTATGTGTATATATGTATATATATTTCACTCAACATCTCCAGCTAAAACAACTTGGTTTACTTTATAAACAATGCAGTGTAAAGTTTCTGGGACTGAGAAAGTCACCGTCACTGTACTAGGAGCTGCTGTTACTAGTGGACACTGCTAAACCTCATCAATTCATGCTCTGGTTTCTCTTCAGACCGTATAAATCTTTCGCCTTTTACTAAAGATTTCCGTGGAGAGGAACAAACCTGAGTACATATCAAATTTTTTGAGGTCTTGCCTTTTGGCAAGGCTAACCATGTGGTTTTAATGTAAGGTTTTTATACCTACTCTCCTTATGTAAGTGTTAGTATAAGTCTTTATTCAGGAACTGCTTTGTCTTTACATGTCCAAGTGTATCCTGGAGTGTTTTAATACCTCTAAATGTCCTAGTCCTACTGGGCTTCTGGGACATGTGGTGACAGTTTGTCTGTATCTCTGCTCTCAAATATTCATACGCTAAATAAACGGAGATCTAAATGTCAATGCACACCTGTAACTTCAACACTATTGAAAGTGGCCTCAGCATTTCTGCAAGTCTGGGGCTACCCTGGGTAAAGTAATAGAAAAAAGTAGCTGGAACACATTCCTCCCAGTGCCAATATCAATGAAGAGGAAAAGCAAAAACTTTCACTTTGTTAAACACATAAGCTAATTTTAAGATGTAGCTTGTCCATCCTCTACTCCTCTTGGTAGGAGTCCTCCCTGGCCAGCCCAAGTTTAGGGGTTCCCCTAACAGACTCTGTCTACAGCACAGTGTGGAAGCTTAGCAACCAGAGAGAGTATGGGCTGACATTAGAGGGGCAGTAGACATGGCTACTTCTAAAATCTTCATGGTGTACCTCCATTACAGCTACCATCTTGGAGGTTTGATACAGGGTATATACACAGCCAAGCTACACCACCCTCCCACCTCCCATCCTTGAATGCTGGGGTCACAGCCGTGTATCATCATGTGCAGTCCTAAGATCTGCTTAAGGTCAACATTTGCTTGGCATCTGTTGTAGATTTTAGCAGGGGAGATATCCAACAAGGGGCCCAGGTGCTAAGGACAAGTGTTCACCTCTTTTGTCTTCTGGAAACTTACCAGGCCTCAAATTTTTGTCTCTAACTCTAGGACTCCAAGCCACCTACATGATATGCAATGTGACATTTAGTATACTCGGTATACTAAAGAGTTAGATGGCCGTCAGGTGACTCCATGGGGTGACTCTGAGCATTGAGAACTTCACCAAGGCCAGGGTTGCCTACACACATGTGCCCCCAATGCAGGCCATTATGAGAGCTATCAGGAACCAAACCCTGGGCCTTGGCAGGACCTAATGAAACAATGGGAACCAGGAAGGCTGTGGTGGCAAAGCTTCTTCGTCTAGAAATAGCAATGGACCACAGGGCTGAGCTTGGTCCTGACAACAAAGCCTGTGTTCCCTTCAAAATCTGTCAGCCCCTGACCCTGAGTTCATTTCCTTACACTTCTCTTCAGTTGAGTCATCTGCTCAAACATAGGTCTAATTATTTCTGCCTCTGGCAAACAATTCTGTATTATGTGAAATGCCTGTGATGCTGTTGTAAGAGATACAGTGATGCGGTATCCACAGTGACCCACAGGGCTACCTCCCAACTACTCAGATCCCACAGGGAGAAAAATTGCCCAGTTGCCTCATCTTTTAAGCAGCATAAGCTACTGATCCTATATTCTTAAAGAGCTGTCATGAGATGGAACCATCTAGAAAATGGGATGCAGATACAAGTCCAATTTACAACCAATTTATCAGGGCTTGTGTATCTGGGTGAACATGTGTGTATAAGTATGGGGAAATGTGTGTGTGTGTGTGTGTGTGTGTGTGTGTGTGTGTGTGTGTGTGTACACCATAGCACATATGTAAAGGTCAGACAATGAGGACAAATCGTAGGAGCCAGTTTTTGTTTTTTGCTTTGTTTTGGTTTTGGGGGGATTGTTTTGGTTTGGTTTGTTTGTTTGTTTGTTTTTGTTATTTTTGTTTTGTTTTGTTTTGCTTTGTGTGGGTTCTAGGGCTTGGACTAAGGTAATTAGGCTTGGCAGCAAGTACCTTTACATGCTGAGCCGTCTCACCAGCCCTACACTCGGCTCTTTTCTAACTGCCCCAGGTCCTCAGTCCTATATGACAAGCGCTTTACTGGTTGAGCCATTTTCATGGAAATGTCCAGGGGGTAGAACAACAAATGCCAGAAAGCACACCCCACACAGGGCCAGGCAAACACCAGCCTGGCATCTAATACATGGCCTCTGTACAGCCAGAGTGGAAGCTGGGTACAGGCCTCAGGACAGGGTAGACAGTGGCCCTTTGGAAATGACTGCCTCCAAACACTTGCTAGGAAGTAGGGAATTCAGAAGATGAAGTGCCATTTATGGTCCCCAACCAGACCACGAGAGCAGCTGGTCTCAGTAAGGGAAAACTATATACAGGGAGTAAGGGTGAAGTGTCTGGTGACATTCTTTTAACACTGAAACACTTCAGCACTTTGAGCACTTAGACACTGAAAACAGATGACTCCACCATTTAGATGTGGCTTTGGCTTGAATCCCACCATCAACTTGCCCTGAATCTTCCACCACCTAAGTCAACATTGATACGGGGTCCTGTTAGGGAAGGAGGTGGTGCTTTGAATAAGAATGGCCTCCACAATCTTATATATCTGAATGCTTAGTCATCATAAGTGGCGATATTTAAGAAGGATTAGGAGGAGTAGCCTTGTTGGAGGGAGTGTGTCCCTGGGGCTGGGCTTTGAGGTTTCAGAAACCCATGCCAAGCACAGAGTCTTTCTCTCTGCCTATGGATCAGGATGTAGAACTCTCAGCTACTTCTCCAGCACCGAGAATGCTTGTGTGCCACCATGCTGCTCCCTTGCCATGATGGACTGAACCTCTGAACCAGTAAGCAAGCCCCTAATTAAATGCCTTCCTTTATAAGAACTGCTTTGGTCATGGAGTCTCTTCACAGCAATAGAACACTGACTAAGACAGATGCTCTGATGGGAGCAAAGTGGAAACATGACATCGCTCCAGGGTAAGAGGAGGAGCTGGTACCCAAGCACTTCCAAAAAAGAAAAAGATAACATCTAGTCTGAGGCTTTGTCAAACACAACATGCTCTACCTTCTCAACAGTAAGGACACACAGCTCCAAATTGCCACCGAGCACTCTTCATCACACAAGGCAAGGCAAAACACTGGCATGTTTTAAACATCAGAAAGCTAGTCACTATCCACTCTGTACCTTCTTCAATCCTCCAAATAGAGTGTCCCTCTCCAGCTCAAATTCTTGGTCCAGTTCATCTTCATGCTCTGATAAGAAAACAAAATTTTTCTCCATTAATCACATCTTAACTAAATTGGGTATAAATAGCAGAAGTACCCAAAGAAGTCAAAATATGTCCTGCAAAACATTTCCATAATTCTTTCCCTATGTTGTGACCTGTGTTCCAGAAAATGCAAGGTAGGCTAATTGAACTCTCTCTTTCACCTTGGATAAAGGCCA